AAAAAAAAAATGAGATCATATCTTTTCCGGGGACATGGATGGAGCCAGAAACTATCGGCCTTAGAAAACTAACGCAGAAACAGAAAACCAAATACTGCATGTTTTCAATTATAAGTGAGAGCTAAATGATGAGAACTGATGAACACAAAGAAGGAAACAACAGACATTGAGGTCTACTTGAGGAAGGAGGGTGGGAGGAGGAAGAGGAGCAGAAAAGATTACTATTGGGTAGTGGGTTTAATACCTGGGTGATGAAATAATCTGTTTAACAACCCCCCCCCTGCCCACCGGACACGTTTACCTATGTGACAAACCTTCAGATGTGCCCCCGAACTTAAAATAAAAGTTAAAAAAGAGGGTTACAATAGAAAGTGAGGAGGTGGCATCTCAGCACTGAACTAAGAGGATATGAGGGAAGACTGAGAGAAGTTATGAGAACAGGTTCAATGGAAGGGAGTCCAGACTGAGCAAGAGAAAGGTGAGAAAGAGAGTCACGGTGGGACCGTAATGCTGAATTCTGTTCTTTGTTCCTCTTTCTCCCCAACAGGTCTCAACATCTGTCAAAAGCAAGAATGGTGTTTTGGAGAAGGAAGGAGGTAGGACTATGTCCATGTTTAGGGCAATGTGAAACAAGATGAGAAAGGGCAGATGCATCACATGCAAGATTTGGAGAGAAGAAATCAAAAGTTGAACTTGGAGCAGGCAGTGGATGGCAATCACCAGGAACATTTAAGTCTGACCCCAGGAATCCTCAGGAGTAAAGGAATGGTGATGAGGGGATGGATTACCCAAGTTACTTGAAATGAGAGCTCCGTCATTTACTCTGGATGTTTAAGAGTTAAGTATGACATGCCCATAGGACTGGAGAATCTGGGGACATTCCAGTTATACTAAATTGATGACAATGATCAGCATAGTTCACAATTCTGTTTCTCTTTTCAGGTAGAATTATTTTTCACTGCAAAGTAATCATTAATGTGAAAAGTGGGTTTTTAAAAAATTAACTTATATTTAATTAATTTATTTACTTAGCATTCTGACAAATAGAGGCAAAAAAAGCCAAGACATTCTTAGCCTTAGAAGAAAGAGAAGCAGAAAACCCCAAATAAAATATCTAAATCTTTCTTCTACTTTTGCTAAGTGGTTTTTCTTTTAGGAAAAAATGGATGGCTATAGCTATGTAAATCTCTTCTAAGAAGTGCGTATGGTAAGGAAGGAGATCATCAAAATCTCTTTAATAATCTGTCAAATGTTATTCATTGCATTCTTGTGTCTATTAACAACGTTTTCCTCTTTGGAACAGCTGTCTCCTGTGCTATAAGCAGTAATGAAGAATTGTTAACTGCATATTGAGAAAGTGAATAAAACATTTCCATCATCAAATACATTGATTAAATAATTTTTGACTCAAAATACTTTTTTAAAAAAGCTAACTGATTTTTGAGTCTTTACTCCCTTTCTTTTGATTTTTTAAATGATGAATGTTTATTTACAGATGGTACTCATGAACCACATATATGAAAAGATGTAATATAATGCAGATATGGTTATCCAGAAATAGCCCTTGAATAAACTGAGATGCAGAGACCAAATTCACATAGTTAGAAGTGCCTCAGTATTCTTGCTCCGTGTATTAACATACAACACATTTCATTGAGTTTATTTTGGTCTTCAAGCTTCTTGATGCCAATAATCATCAATTAATTCATTCATGATACAGCCAGCAGAATACTGTAGCCATAAGGGCACTTAGTCACTTTTCAGTTACATGTGGACTATTCATGCTCCCTTCTAAACTTCAGGCTGGCTTTGTCTTATTGGTAATATATACTCATAGAAAGCTAACTTCTGGGTGCTCAGATACTTAACTTCTGAAAATATGTTGAAATAAACCAAATATAAATAAGAGATTAGACCTGCCATTGAGATGAAACATATTCTAAGATAAAAAATATATGACTTCTCAATGAATTGCTATTTCTGTGTGCAATGCTTTTTCTGTACTATTGATGAATATCATCAAGAATAGGCTGCCTACAATGTTGATAACTAAGTTTACTTTGCAATTCTAAATGCAGTTCATAGCACTTTATTAGCTCAGAGAGAGGTTAGTAGGATGAATCCAGTTTCCATAAGCCCTTCTAAATGGGAAGTAAGACCTCTCCCACATGAATGAGTATTTTTAATGAATTAGAGATAAAAATAGTGTATCTAAATGTTCCCTTCGGGGAGAGGTTGTGTACAGGAGCTCTCTATTGCCAAACTTTCACATAAGGTCAAACCCAGGATTACAAACTATAACCATGTTTGCCATCTTTAAAGCAATTCTTCATATTTAAGAACAAATCAATTTTTTGACATACAGTGTCCAAGTATGGGGTCTGGTATAACCTTAGGGAGACAGAGTCTGCTGTGTAACTAAAATCAACCCATAACTACTGGTGGACAATCCATAAAGATTACTGAATGAAAGAAGTAATAAATATTGTCCTCAACAATGTCAATGTTTCATTATCTAAAAATGTTTACTTGTGTTCTCTGTGTGACACTAGATCCCTGGCAGCAACTGGTCATGCTCACATGCCTCCCTAGAAAATAAAACACCAACACAAAACACAACAAATGAAATGTTCTGGATCTGAAAAAACCTATAGCAAGCAGTGTTGATCATGGCTCTAAGAATGCAAGTTAATTAAATTTGATGATATCTGAAATATTTAAACCTTTATTTATTAATAAACATCACAGAGGGAAAAGAAACATTCAAATGGCACAAAGTAGGTAAAATAAATGTTTACTATTTTTGGTCTCATTTAAAATCTTTTGTCAGTTGAATTTACTCTAAGCTTTACAAAAAGGATTCTTATATAGAAGAGAAAGACATATTTTACCAAAAGAAAGAAGTAAAAAAATGTTTAATTCCACTATACCTTCTTAATTGAGAACTGTTGTGAATGACTTCCCTAATACTGTGAAAATTAGTTGGTGATGATTAGAGGCCAAGGCAAGAATTTCATAATGAAGACAAAATATATAGGCTTCTTTCAAACACAGGGATCCATGCATACATGTACCATTGCTGTTTTTAAATTCAGGCTGAATGAAAATAACTTACCTGACACAACAATAATGAGAATCTTAGCATTGGTACCTAAGAGACTATGGAAGAATTTCAGGGTAGCTGGGATGTCTTTTACATAATACAGCATCTAGAAATGAGGAAAAAGAAATGAGATGCTTCTTTATGTTGAAGTCTTTATTGCTTGGGCTAGATACTCCTAGAAAGTTTGATTTTCTAGTTGAGTTAATTTTTATCGAAGAAAACACTTAAGAAATTTAAAAATAAAAGACGTTGCATGAAGACATAGAACAATAATGTGAGAAAAATATTTGGGGAAATGGAAAAGTATGGTATTTGTTCGACTAGAGTGAAATGGTTTTAAATTTACCCTTTCTGGCTTCCATAGCACAGACATTTATAGCTGGAGACACTTAGTCACCATTCCACATAGGGACATGAATCCTATGCCTATTCTATAATTTGTGAATTGCAGTTCTTCTGGGAGAAAATGGTTTCGGCACCATAAAAACAGATCCCATTTCATGGAACGTTGCTTTACAATTAAGCCCTTTGCACTAGCTTCTCCATATGCTCACAGATGCTTTTTTAAAATCACAGAAAATGTGACAGGCTCTGATGATGACAGATTCTGTAGGAAGTTGGACTAAATAAAGCATGAGGTTATCTGCTTGGCCACAGGGAGTTTAGGGGTCAGGCCACCCATTTTTAATAATTATGGACCAATCTCTAGTGAAATACAGGCCTTTCCATCCAACACAGAGCTTGGACTTAGGTATTGACAATGGGAAATTGTTCCCCATGGCTTGCATCTTTGGATCCCACCCCCATAGACACTTCTTATATCTCATCTTCATCTTTGTTGGACAAGAATTCAATGTTCTATATAGCTTGTCCTTAGAGAATTCATTGCATAGAAGAAAAGTACTTTAGCTGTGGCTTTTTCATATGAATGAATGAAATAAAATGGACCTGACCTGTGCATGGCTCATGGTGCCTTAGGGGCCACACTCCACATTTTCTACCACAGGGACCATAGGCAGGTACCCAAATATAGCAAATCAATATGATGACTAATAATCTGCAATATGACCTGGCTAGAAATGCAGAGGTGGCCCATAGAAGATCCCTTAAATTTTTTTTATAGACAGTGAAATTTTCTGAATTAACAGTGAGGTTGTAAAAGTATCATGACAGTGTGAGGACTATAGTGAGTAATAGAGAGGCAGAGATGCTGCACAGAAAAATGGGGCATAGACAGAGATGGAGAGAGAAGAACAGGATACAGATGCAGAGGGAAACAGAATTGCTGTAAGAAAAAAGGAACAAACATGGAAGTTTTAAGAGAAATAGGAAAGAGAAGTTGATTCCCGAAAT